CATCTTCTCTCATGGTTCGTCCACCCCTCCGATTTCCCCCGCTTCATTCCTCCCCTCCCGCTACCTTCTTCTTCTTCTTTTTTTTTTTCTTAACATATCTTGCATTATTTGTGTCAGAGGTACAGATCTGAGACTCAACAGTCCTGCACAATTCACAGCGTCAAAGCAAACTTTTTAAAGAGTATACTTGTGGGGCGCCTGGGTGGCTCAGTCGTTAAGCGTCTGCCTTCAGCTCAGGTCATGATCCCAGGGTCCTGGGATTGAGCCCCGCATCGGGCTCCCTGCTCGGCAGAAAGCCTGCTTCTCCCTCTCCCTCTCCCACTCCCCCTGCTTGTGTTCCCTCTCTTGCTGTGTCTCTCTCTGTCAAATAAAGTTTTTTAAAAAATAAAGATTATACTTGTAATTGCCTATGAATTCCAGCTCTGTTACTTACAAGCTGTGGGATTGTGGGCATGTTATGTAATATTTTAGGGACTCAGTTTCCTCACCTGTAAAAATGGGAATTATACTATCTACCTCATCAGATTGTTGTGAGGAGTCAATAAAGTTAATACTTGTAAGTCAGGGCCAATATTTAACTATAATTTTTAATTAATAACATTATTTCTTGTGACATTTCTACTTTCAGTACACGTTTCTGACAATGAAGCATATTATGTTCTATTTATTATCAATGAATTTTACTTTCCATTGAGATAAAATTCACATACCATTAGATTCACTCTTTTAAACTGTACAGTTTACTGGTTTTTAGAATATTCACAAAGTTGTGCAACCATTACTAGTTCAACATTTTTTTAAATTGAAGTATAGTTGAAAAAAATTGAAGTATAGTTGACATACAATATTACATTAGTTTCAGGTGTATGACATAATGATTCGACATTTCTACATTTTTATCACCTCAATGGGTTTTCTGAATTGGTTTTCTGTGGGACCATACTATTTAGAATGTAAGATAAATTCTAAATTTATTAAGTTACAAATCTGTAAGTTAATAAATTCAAGAACTAAATGCCTCCATTCAAATACAATTGTACAGTCTCTACCATCACTTAACCAATGAATGCCTTTATTGAAATAGAACTTCCTATGTTAGGTAAACTGTTGTAACCTAGAACTTATGTGATAGAAAACATATTCCTTTTAATCTTACTTCAGTATTCTATGAACACAGGTAATCTAAATTCTTATTCACCTCTTCTTATATTTTTTGCCGGCTAGAAAAGAACACCTGTTCGTGACAGAAAATTTGTGAAGTATAGAAATGCATGGGGAGAAACAAAAATTACTCGACTTCTTGTTGATACACCGTGAAAAAAAAGTTAGGAAATTCCCCGAAGTCTTTAAATTGTAAAACACCGATTTAGTGGTAATCTTTCCATTAAAGAAGTGAGCTTTCCTGTATGGGCTTAAAAAAAAAAACAAAAAACGCCTCCGTGGGCGCTCTTACAACACCTAGCTTCCATCCTATGCTAACTCCATGCTGTGCAGTTTAGAGCCACTACGGACCGCCTCCGGGCCCTAGAAACCTGTCTCTAAAAACAAGTTAGGGACTTTGCTCTTCCCATCCCTGGGCCGCTGACCACTTCATCAAACCTCCGCGCGAGGGCGCCCTCCCCGCCGCCCGCCAGGTGACGCGCAGGGCCGTAAGAGCGGCCAGCGTGGCCATCACAGCCGAGCCGCACCCCGAGCCGATCTCGCCTTATTAAATTACGGAAATCATAAGATGGACAGCCCCACCGTCTGTCCTCACACCCCCAGAGAACATTCCCAGCTTCCGGTAAGTCTTCCGGCCATCCCCACGGGAACCGGAAATGGCTTCTCCCTCGCCTGCGCGCCTGGCGGTTGCATCACCCGCCTAGCAAGGCGGGGGGGGGGGGGGGTCTTCTTTGGGGGTTGCCCTCAGCGTTGCCTGCACAAAAATCCGTCAGGTCTGCAACGAATGGATTCCGAAACTTTGCCTCCTGTTTTTTAGTGAGTTTTCCGGCAGGCACTGTGTAAACCCAAGCGGAGAGAAGTCCAAGCAGCGAGGACCCTGCTGCACGGGCCATCCTCCTTTCCCAGGCGTGGGCCCTAGTCGGCCGTCCCGCCTCCGCTCCCCCGCCCCATACAAGGGGACCTGCGTTCGGTTAGGCAGCAGCTGGGGCGACTTCCTTCCTCTCGGAGCAAGATGGCGGGCGGTGAGGCTGGAGTGACTCTGGGGCAGCCGCATCTTTCTCGTCAGGATCTCGCCACTTTGGTAAGATTTCGTTCTGCAAGGATGCGGAGTGAACTCAGAAGTGGATGATCGAGCCTCCTGGGAGGCGTTGAGACGAGGCAGTGCCGGGCTGTCTGTCGGGAGCATGCGTTAGGAGGGAGACTCCTGCCGCTGCCTGCATCTTGGCAAGTTCGCGAGCTGTGCATGGGGCTGTGAGGTTGTGGGACTTCAAGCCCCCGAAGGATTCGGCTGGAAAGTCATGACGTTAAATGTTACTAAGGCTTTTGCTTCTTAAGGTCTGGGAAGGGAGTGTCTACCTCGTCTTCAGTGCTAATGCTGTCAAGGTTGGGGGGGGGTGTCCTCGGGCTTTCACATCTCCCATAGTGAGTGGAGGTGTAGTCTTCTATAACGATGAAGGACTTTTAGGGCTTCCCAGTCATCAGAGTACAATATTGCTTTTGCAGGAGAAGTGCTTTAGAAGTAGAGGAGAGCTGTTACGTGGTGGCAAGCTGTGGGTAGCAAATGTAAAATCAAAGGAAAAGTTGTGATCTGTCTTACGTACAGCGATGTAAAATAAAAATGTTTCATTGCAGGATGTTACCAAGTTGACGCCACTTTCACACGAAGTTATCAGCAGACAAGCCACAATTAATATAGGTAAGATAAGAATAACTTGGTGACCTGACTTGCTTGATCTCGACAAGTAATTTTAACTTCTCCCTTTGTATGATTGCCTGAATTTTATGAGGACGCAGATGTTCAAGAAATAGACTTTGAGCCTGTGTGAGTAAAGCACCTGCCGGATTTTGTGGGAAGCATATATTGCTCAAGCCTAGCTCATGTCTAGGTGCAAAGAAAAGATACAGACATGAAAAATTTAGTAGCATAAGGCAAGATGTAGTCGTATGTAGCAGAAGAGGTGAAAATGTGGTGGTACTTGCCACACAGGGTTATTGCAGGGGCATAATTTTCACAAAAGTTTTATTTGGTATATAAGTGATTATTAAGAAGGTTTTTTTTTTTTTCCCTCCTAATTGCCATCTAGAACTTTAGAGGAGAAGGTATGTTGACTGAGTGTCAAATTTAAACTTGATAGCCTGTACAAGTGGCACAATTAAATGTAGTTAAAAGTAAAGCTCTACCGTCAGGTTATTAAGAAGTTATAAGGTATGTGCTAACGTTGATAGCATTACCATAATTAAACCTGGGTTGTTTTCCTGGATTCTTTTTGGTGTTGTCAGGACTCATACCTGTTTATGCTGGAAAGTTCCTTAGTATTTAGGATTTTATCTTCTCCTTATTAAGTGTTTATTTTAAATGAAGGCAGTCTTTTATGTGATCAGAAACATAAGATGAATAGCTTTTCCTATACTGGAGTGTAGTTTTTGAACGACATCGTGATTACATGGAAAGTTCCATTCAGTCCTGTATCAGAATAAGGTTTTGTTAGGAAAGAATATGAAGAACGAAAAATTGAAGTCACTGTTGGTTTTATGTTGATATTTATAGTGAGTTTTAGCTTTGGGTTTTCTACTCCAGTGCTTTTTGAAATCGTGTTTGGTGTAACTGAACGTACATGAATTAATTTCTTATACTTTTCCTGTAGGTACAATTGGTCATGTAGCTCATGGAAAATCCACAGTTGTAAAAGCTATTTCTGGAGTTCACACTGTCAGGTTCAAAAATGAACTAGAAAGAAATATTACAATCAAGCTTGGATATGCTAATGCTAAGGTGAGCTTGTACTGTGGAACTAGAAATAACTTTGTTGAATGTGCAGATAACGAATTTGAATCTTTTTTTCATTGGAATTTTTAGATATATAAACTTGACGACCCAAGTTGTCCCCGGCCGGAATGTTATAGATCCTGTGGAAGTAGTACACCAGATGAGTTTCCTACAGACATTCCAGGGACCAAAGGGAATTTCAAATTAGTCAGGTGACCTCTTTCAAAAAACACTTTATAGTTCATATTCTATTGTCTTGTGATTGTGTTTTTTGAAATATTTAACTGAAATTAAATTATTAAACTAATTGCTGAATATTTTTGTTGTCTATTTTTTAATGTTCTTGTTGTCTATAATGATAGTAATTTGAAAGGTCAAGTATTTCAACCTCAATTTAGATACTTCCATTCAAGTTCTCCAAAGGAAAGGTATCATGTAAGCAGATGGAATGGAGGGAAACACAGCTCGTTGGATTTAGGGGAAGCTTTTTGTCAGGCTTTCTACATTTCTTTTAAACAATGTTGTTTCTGTTTTTTAGATAGGGGATGCACAAAGCCATTCTTAATTACCTCTCTTCAGTACGTGGGCTTGTTACCCATCTAGTTTCTGAATGTGATTCATATCCTGGTTATCAGAGGATACAGACCTCTACTCCCTAGTGATGTTAATGCGGTTGGGGATGGCCCACAAGGAAATTTTACATTGCGGCAAGGCTGGGACTGGGGAGAGGCGAGTGAGGCCCTTGCCTTGGACCCAAAATGTAAAAAAAAAAAAAAAAAAACCCTCAGTGATCAGGATAAACAGTATTTCAAGGCAGTGCTTTTTGAAATTGATGCAAAAAAAAAATCCTAATAGAATATCATTTGTTTAAATAAAGACAACTCAAAATTACAGATTTTTTCCCCTCTTCAGTATTACTACTTATTTCTGGTTCGGTGTGGCATTATTAGTTACCTTTGATATTTTTCTCGTTGTGAATTTTTTTGCATTAATTTTGTTTTTAAAAATCTTAAATTTAAATATTATTTATCTTGATTAGTGAGTTTTTTGGCACTCCCTTAAATTTTGCCCCTAAGGCAAATGTCTCACTCAGCCTCACCCTGGTTCTGGTCCTCATCAGAGATCAGCAAACTTCTTTTTTTATAAGTGGCCAGATCATAAATATTTACAACTTTGCAGGCCATAGGTTCTCTGGGAAGAGGCTACTCATCTCTGCTCTTGTGTTATGAAAGCAGATGTAAATAATATGTGCTTGAGTGGGTATGGGCCAGATTTGGCCTAGGGGCCTTTTGCTAATCCCTGTTTCAGATCTTGACAGTGTGAGCATATGCTCTTTAAAAATAGTGATTCTCAATAAGTAGCAGTTTGTCTAAAATAGTACTGCCATCTCTACTTCAAATTGGCAGTTCCAGCTTTTCAAGGTGCTGGAGGAATTTTTGGCAAATTATTTTTTCAGATGGCAGTGCCCATTCTGTTAACACTGTTTTAGCTTTCAAATCGATGACATTTCCAGTATGTATTTTCTACCATACTCTATACCATATTCATTTTGATTGGATTTGGGAATTTCTGTGTTGAAATATGGATTGATTTTAGTACTGATTGCTATTTCTTAATTGTTAGACATGTTTCCTTTGTTGACTGTCCTGGCCACGATATTTTGATGGCTACTATGCTAAACGGTGCAGCAGTGATGGATGCAGCTCTTCTGTTGATAGGTAAATATATCAGAATTGGTTTCGACAAATCAATGTGGAACAAATCCAAGATGGAATATTTAAAGGAGCACTAAGGCCATTAAGGGTCATATCCATTACCTAAGGGTGACACAAATGAGAGCTAACATGTCATCCAGGATGACATCCCTGCCTACCAGGTATCATAAAACACTAAGCAAGGTAGATGTGGGGCTGATTTGAGAATTCTTAGGTTAATATATATTTTTAAATTAAAGTCAGTAGTGCGTTTTTCCCACCTAGATCACATGAGATGATTTACTATTTTAGTTTTAAATTTGTAAGTGTACATGTATTTTTCATCCACTGCAACGTTGATGTATAGTGGTTTTATTTAGATGCAAATCTTATTCATAGTAAGTGCTGAAGTGTAGACCTAATTGGGGTTTTCAAAGCTAGGGTTGTGCTACCTTCCTTATGTGAGCTGTCAAGAGATTTCATTGCTATGGGACATTATTTTTATTTTTTTAAAGATTTTATTTGAGATTGAGAGACAGAGATCGAGCAAGAGCAGGGAAGAGAGGGAGAAGCAGCCTGAGCAGGGAGCCTGATGGTGGGCTTGATTCTAGGACCCTGGGATCATGACCTGAGCTGAAGGCAGACACTTAATCTATGGGACATAATTTTTTTAGAGGAATGCAAGTAGATACAGTACAGGACAGCTCAATATCACTGCTTGGGGAAGGTGACTGTTGGAGTGCCCCCCCAAAAATGCCAATTTCTTTATGACAACACTGTTGGTTAACTGTGCATTTAGTGTTCTTATCTCCCTTTGTTAGGGAGTACCCTTTGGTAGTAGTTGAAATTCACAGACTGTAGTAAGCATTTTCCCTTAATTACTCTCTACCTCTCAGGAGCTTAACTGGGCCAAAACATCTCTAAGACTGGATAGAGCCAGAGGGCTATACCTTATACCTTAGCAAAGGCTAAGGACAGACCCTGGGATGCCAAACTTGTTGATTCCAAGCTTCTTGCATAGCACCAGGGATAAAAGCCAAATGACCTGAAGGCTCCAGTGAACGCAGGCACAGAGGGTGAAACAGGGCAAAAGGTGGATGCTTGGCAGTGATATCCAGGACTTTTGCCTGCAGTAAGGCTAGGACATGCAAAAGTTTCCTTTAAGTTTGTTTTGGTAGTAAAATACACTTAAAATAATATTTACCATTATAATTATTTAAAGTGTACAATTCAATGACATTAAGTACATTCACAGTTCTGCAAGCATCACCAATTTCTAGTTCCAGAACATTTTCGTTGCCCCAGAAGGATACCCCATGCCCGTGAAGCAGTCACTCTATGCCATACCTTCCCCCCATCTCCTGGCAACCACTAATCTGCTTTCTGGCCCTATGGATTTGCGTATTCTGGATATTTCCAGTTAATTCTCATGCATCTTTTTTATTCCTCTTCATCTAGCTGGTAATGAGTCTTGTCCTCAGCCTCAGACTTCTGAACACCTGGCTGCTATAGAAATCATGAAACTGAAGCATATTTTGATTCTACAAAATAAAATTGATTTGGTAAAAGAAAGTCAGGCTAAAGAACAGTATGAACAGATCCTTGCGTTTGTACAAGGTAAGAAACCATAATTGCTAATAAATCTATGAATCACTTTGAGAGGTATTTAATCCAGATACCGGATGTTAAATTTAAGTTTTACTATAATAGACTATCTGAAATAGATAAATTTATGCATCTTAAGACCTTATTTCTCTACCTACTACTTGTTAGTCACCGGATACAACTAGTGAAATCTGTTTGTGAATTTGATAAACTAAAGCACATACATCTTTTCATCCACATATATTTAAAATACTTTCTTATTGAAGTATAGTTGACATACTGTTACGTTAGTTTCAAGTGTACAACTCAGTGATTCGACAGTTCTGATAATTCTATACATTATGCAGTGTTACTGACAGTAAATGTAGTTACTGTCTGTTACCACACAAAGTTGTTAAAATATTAATGTATGTGTTCATTATGCTGTACATTTCATCCCGGTGACTTATTTTATAATTGGAAGTTTAAACTGAAGTATATTTTTGCTGGCTGAAAGTTAGAACTGAAGTTGTATTCTGGAAACTGTGAGTCGGTTTAGAAAAAAAAGTCCTCTTTAATGAACAAAAGATTTTTTTGTTTTAAATTTAAGTCTTACACTACTCTTACCTAATACTTTGATCATTGGAAGTGACAATGATATATTTAATCTTTATAGTGTTCATTTCTCTGTTGCATAGGGTTTTTCATTTCAGGGAAGATATGATGCATGTTATTGTTGCAATTCTCTCTCAGCATTGTTGGAAGGGTTGACTCCCATGAACCTAGTTCTGTCGTGATGAAAAAGAATAAGTCATTTTGATTAAAATCTAATTATGTTTGGTCCATTTCTTTGACCAACCTGTTTGACATATAATTAATAAGGAGCAAATATTTTATGAGCTAGTAGTCTTTGATTAGCAAAGAGTCTGTAATTTTATCTTGACATTTTTTGGGAGGTTAATTACACATTATTAGAAATCTTTAAACTAGTAAAGTGCTTTTTCCCAGGAGTGTATTTTATTCCTTTAGACAGTATTATCATTTTAGTATAGTAAATACATGTGTAAATATATTTTAACAGTTTTTTTCCATAAAGGGACTAGTGTTCATTTTCAGGAGTAAAACAAACAGAATACTGCCACCTTTCTAAACAGAATTATCATTTTGCATTTGTTTGTTGCTGGCATTTATGTGAGGATGTTTAGGCATCTATTTTAGTTTTTTTTTTTTTTTAAGATTTATTTATTTAGAGAAGGGGGGCAGAAGAAGAGGGAGAGGGAGAATCTTAAGCAGACTCCCTGCTGAGCACAGATCCTGCCATGGGGCTCAATCCTATGACTCCAAGATCATGACCTGAGCTGAACCAAGATCAGGAGGCTCAACTGACTGAGCCACCAAGGCGCCCCTAGGCATCTATTTTAGTAATCTTAACCTTTTCCTGTAACATAGAAAGATCAAGTTCTGTAAAACTAAAGAATCTTAATCTTTCTGAATTTTATATAGGTACAGTAGCAGAAGGAGCTCCTATTATTCCAATTTCTGCTCAGCTGAAATACAATATTGAAGTTGTTTGTGAGTACATAGTGAAGAAAATTCCAGTACCCCCAAGAGACTTTACTTCAGAACCCCGACTTATTGGTAAGTGATAGTATTTGTCTTTAACTCTTAATTTGATCTTTTTGACATTGGTGAGTTCTCTTTTTTTTTTTTTTTTAAGATTTTATTTGTCAGAGAGAGAGAGAGCACAAGCGGGGGGGGAACAGCAGGCAGAGGGAGAAGCAGGCTCCCCGCTGAGCAAGGAGCCCAATGTGGGACTCGATCCTAGGACCCTGGGATCATGACCTGAGCCGAAGGCAGACACTTAACCGACTGAGCCACCCAGGCATCCCGTGATTCCTCTTGAAGGGTGTTTATTAATACTTCTCTTTTTGCAGAGATAATAACAATCTCCATAAAAATTTTTTTTGATTCTGGGATTGTATTGGCAGTGCTAGATTGCATTACTGGTAGAGGGACAGAGTCCCCACACAGAAGGAACTTTTAACCTTTTTGTGGTCTGTATATGGCATGTCATGTGATCAAGATGGAGTTGTACAGTATTCTCCATGGAATTAAAATGTTTTAGTCAGGAACAGGATATTAGAACTTTCGTACAAATGTTTTCATTGTAACATTAATGAAGATTTTCATGTCCTTTTCACTTTTATTTAAGTTCATAGGACCAATATTGGTACTGTGCTAAGCTTGTGGTTCCTAGACAGAGATGTAGGAGTCTTTTTTTTTTTTTTTTTTTTTAAAGATTTTATTTATTTATTTGAGAGACTGAATGAGAGAGAGAAAGAGCACATGGGGGGGGAGGGTCAGAGGGAGAAGCAGACTCCCCACGGAGCAGGGAGCCCGATGCGGGACTCGATCCCAGGACTCCGGGATCATGACCTGAGCCAAAGGCAGTCGCTTAACCAAATGAGCCACCCAGGCGCCCTGTAGGAGTCTTTTTAAAACAGACATTTGAGCCTCTCTGGGCCTGCACCTGGTGCCCCCCTTTATATTGTGGGAAGTGTTCTCTTGGGTGATTGTGATGCGTATCCTTGTTAAGGGTCACTGCTCTCAGGACCTAAGTTCAGTTCATGCATTTCTAAAGTTGTTTTGTAGTTTTTAAAACTAAATTTTAATTTAAGAAGTTATACAGAGGTAGATAAAGAAAGAAAAGTCCATAGTCTCCCTGCCTTTCGCTTCTAGACCCTTAGCCCAGAAGTAACCAAAGTTAATGGTGTGTTATTCTCACACCTTCCTCTTTATTCACCTCATTATGTATAAACATGTATGTGTTTCCTGTTTTAGTTTTACTTTATGGAAATGGGATCATAGTCTGTGTTATTTTTGTCTAGTTTTGTGTGTGTTTTAAATAGTATATGTGGGTTATCCTTTTAAGTCATTACATTATCGGTCAAACATTCTTTTTTAGGGGTACCTGGGTGGCGAAGTTGGTTAGGTGTCCAAACTCTTGGTTTCAGCTCAGGTTGTGATCTCAGGGTCATGGGATCGAGGCCCATGTTGGGTTCCACGCTCAGTGCAGAGTCTGCTTAAGTTTCTCTCTCCCTCTCCCTCTGCTCATCCCCCCAGCATGCATGTATGTTCTCTCCTAAATAAATAAATAAATAAATAAATAAATCTTTAAAAAAAACAAAACTCAAAACATTCTTTAATACCTGCTGATATTCCATAGTATGGATGTACCATAATATGCCCCCTATCAGTTAACTTTTAATTTATTTCCACTATTTTCATCATAAGTAAGCCTGCAATAATCGTAGGAGTACTGATAGTGGATTCTGTTACAAAGTCGCCCCTGTGTGTATAAATACTATGTGGTTACTATCTTAGAAAAGTTATCTTAGTAAAGAATATTTCCTTTAAAGTTAAAATGAGCAGAATTAGCTTTAATTTGTTTTGTTTTCTTTTAGTTATTAGGTCCTTTGATGTCAACAAACCTGGCTGTGAAGTTGATGACCTTAAGGGTGGTGTAGCTGGTGGTAGTATTCTAAAAGGAGTATTAAAGGTGAACTGGATTTTTATTGTTGTGTTTTTATTTTATTTTTCCATTGTCTTAATCATAAGGTGAATAGTACGGACACTCCAAATTGAAAGTAAAATTTTTTTTCTTTTTGAGTATGGAGCACGTTTTATATGGAGATAAGCTTGTGTGGTAGGTAGTTAGCAACAGTTGGATGGATGTTTCTGGTTTTGAAGCTCACTTCCACTTTTTTTTTTTTTTTTTTTTAGTAATAGTCCTCGACACAGAGAAATAATTGCCTTTTCAGTTTTGGTGTCTTCCTATTAGGACTTTTGATATGTAAGTGATAATGGTGTCATCCCACAGTAATTCTAATTACTAACTTAATATGTTTACAGGTGGGCCAGGAGATAGAAGTCAGACCTGGTATTGTTTCCAAAGATAGTGAAGGAAAACTCATGTGTAAACCAATCTTTTCCAAAATCGTGTCGCTTTTTGCAGAACATAATGATCTTCAGTATGCTGCTCCAGGAGGTCTTATCGGTAAGGATTTTTCTCTCATCCCTACATTTTTATTATTTTTATTTATTTATTTACTTTTAAAGATTTTATTTATTCATTTGACAGAGAGAGACATGGCAAGAGAGGGAACACAAGCAGGGGGAGTGGGAGAGGGAGAAGCAGGCTTCCCACTGAGCAGGGAGCCTGATGCGGGGCTCGATCCCAGGACCCTGGGATCATGACCTGAGCCGAAGGCAGACGCTTAATGACTGAGCCACCTAGGCGCCC